CTGCCACCGGTAAGCCAGATGGCGGATTGGATACAACTGGTTGACGTGCTATGACAGCAGGAAAGTCGCTGAGTTCGACGGAAGAAGAGCATCTCAACACATCCTGCTGGTACCTATCCTCTCTGCTCTTTTTGTCGAGGCTGTTCATTCAGCTCAGGAAAAATCCACCTACAGCCAGCCCGTCGGAGCCTGCGAGAAACTTTAGGCGGAAAGACAGAACTTCAGAAGGCAGTGATCCGTCATTCGGGGTCACTCGAAACAAGTAATGGATATCAGGCGAGGTAAAGTCGTGAACACACGAGAAAGCAGAGTGGAGTGTGAGCTTAGATTAGTCCCGTCTTGGTTGGCTTTGAAAAGCTGCAGATTTCTACTTCTGATGAGTCTGTACTCTGTAGTCACTAGTCACTAAGGGGAATATTGGACTTTGTAAATAGATATCGAAGATCCTCCTCGGTTGTGCAATCACAAAACCTTCGTGAAGTAATGCAGTGATAGACTCTTGTAGTAACGTCGTACTTATAGTACCTAGTTAAGTTAGGCAGTTGCTCCGCTCCCATGTTATCCATCATTTGCAGGACCCACTGCTCGGACGTGGAAGCAACCACCAAGAACCTCACAATTAAGATCGCATAGAGCTCCATCTCAGGTATATGACTTGTAGCTCAGTACTGAGTCCCCATTACAAGCTAAGAAGTAGTACACGTCATCCAAAAAAAATAGTAGCAGTGCCTTTTTCACAGCTAAGATAGAATCATAGCAAAAGCTTGTATCAGATACAGTAACCAAGCACAGTGGAACCCGAGTAGATGGTGGACCGGACTCCAAGTTGGTACGTTGGAAGCCCGGGCTGCGGCTATTATTAATCGCGGAATCCGGGGAGACATGCAGCCCGAGCTTACTGCCAATCTCCGAGGGGCGGACGGAGCTTACGATGCCGACGTTTAGTCCGAGCGTGCCTGGTCGACGCTGTCTTTCAAATTGCAGGGTCTTCGTCGTCCGGTAACTTGAGACAACATCCTTTATCTCATTATATCTTGCGCACCGCACGCTGAAATTCCTTGTCAGCTTGCAGAAAATTCTCGAATCTATACATAGTCTGTCTGCAAAGGCAAAACTCCATTTAGAAATGAGTTCAGGCCACCTCCTTCGGGCGGGTGATGACGACGCAGCTTCGGGAGACGCTTCTCGTCGCTTCAACGCCATCGAGCCTCTGAACCGGTTGCAAGCTGCCGTACCGCTAAGAAACCACCAATCTAACAGCTTCGATGCTGAGAACCTTCCCAAAACGACGTCAGACCGGCGGCGAGCCTCTATCATCTCGACATCTCTCGACGGCGATGTCCACCTATCAGAAAAGGTCGCTGAACAACAAGAGGGCGGACATGCTCTGACCGGCACATCCGCCGAGGGCGAGACCGTTCTGTATCTAGCATATGGCTCCAATCTCGCATCTCAGACCTTCCGGGGCATGCGTGGGATTAAGCCATTGTCGGAGATTCCTGTGCTGATACCGGAGCTTCGCTTGACCTTCGACCTACCGGGTATCCCTTACGCCGAGCCATGTTTCGCCGGCACGCAGTATCGGGATCCCGACCTACCGAACAGTACAGAGCCCCAATCTCACCATGGCAACACGTCATCGGACATTGAGGATGACTTTGTCTCGGAAAAGGCACCGCTTCTGGTCCGAACACAAGAGATGCGAATGGCGGAAGCGAGCAGGAATCGATGGCACAAGCCTCTGATTGGAGTAGTGTATGAGGTCACCTTGGCCGACTATGCCAAGATTATCGCAACGGAGGGTGGTGGTCGCGGCTATCGAGATGTCGTGATCAACTGTCACCCCTTCGCCGAGGGCTTCAAGCCTACAGATCCTGTTCCCGACCATCCCGACACTCTGCCCTTCAAAGCCCACACACTCCTGTCACCAAGCGCAGATGATGCTCGAAAAAGGACAGAGGCGGCCAAACGTGGTCAGTCCTCCTCGACCGTGTGCACAGCATCATCGTCCAATACTTCCATCTTCAGTGACTTTGGGCCGCACATGCGTCCTAACCCAGAATATGCACAGCCGTCTGCGCGCTATCTCAACCTTCTGGTGACTGGTGCTGCTGAACATGATCTCCCGGTCACATATCGAGAATACCTTTCTCAAATCCATACATTTAGCATCACCACTGTCCGCCAAAAGATTGGAAAAGCCGTCTTTGTTGGTCTATGGGGTCCCCCCATCTTGACTCTTCTGGCATTTTCAAAAAGATTCGCCGGTCCTGACGGCAGAAGCCCACCATGGCTGGTGAACTTGTCCAACATCTTGTTTGCTGCGATGTGGTTCACCTATGACTATTTCTTCAAGCCAGTATTTGGGGAGGGCGAGCGGACGCTAGGTGATGTCTCTTCTTCTTGAGATACCGGGGTCCGAGCCTGGAGCAGTATTGTATATTCCAACTGACACACTACTGGTGAGCACGTATCGAAAACAGAGGAACATAATACAATCTACACCTTTAAGACTCTGCTCGACGTCCTCGTAGATTCCAGGTCATGTAGGTTTGATCTCAAAGCGGTCAATGTCAGGGGACGCGGTCAATAGCCAGATATTCAACTGAGCGGGGATTTTTCGCTCCCGGGGGAAATTGACAAAGGAGATTAGATTCAGTTGACTCCCTGAGCACACGGTTTTCGGGACGGGGAAAAAAAGGAGTTATATCTAGGATACAGATACAGGTGTGCTGAGAGCGTTCTAACAAAACAAAGGGAGAAAGAGCGCCCCCCGGGACACAAGAACAAAATGAAAGAGATCTTTCCGAGGCAAAGACCGGACGGGCAAGAATACACAGTATGGCCAAAAAGTCACACGGCCTCGCCAGCCTTTCCCATTTTCCAACTCATACAAGTTTCGTAACCATCACACTTAGCGGCGAGGAGCGATGGGAGGGCTGTACACGATCTTTCGCGACTTGATGGGGGCCCACTTGTAGCGCTTGACCCAGATGCTGATCGCGAAGAGGCCGGTCAACAGGGTGATAGCCTTGACACCCATCTTCTTGCGGTCATCCATCTCGGGCTCAGCAGCCCAGTTGAGGAACTCAACAACATCCTTGGCCATCTGGGAGGTGGTGGCAGGGGTACCATCCTCGTACTCGACAACTCCGTCGTAAAGGACACGGCCCATGGCAATACCTTAGGTGATTGTCAGAGGAGAGACTAAAAAAGCATGGAGGACCGATTGAGTGCGATATACTTACCGGTACCAGGGAAGTAGGGGTTGAAGTTCATGCCCTCGGCCACACTGGCACCCGCAGGGGGGTCATCAGGGTAACCGGTCAGCAGGTTGAAAACGTAGTCACAGCCACCGTGACGACCCTTGATGATCAAGCTGAGATCCGGGGGAAGAGCACCACCGTTGGCGGCACGGGCGGCCTCGTCGTTCTTGTAGGGAGCGGGGATGTAGTCGGACAGCTTGCCGGGGCGCTTCTCGATCTCTCCCTGGTCGTTGGGCTCGGTGTCGTACTCGTTCTCCTCGGCCATGGCCTTCATCTCGTCGACGGTGTGCATGACACCAACGAACGAGCGCCAGGGCACACGAGTGAGGGAGTGGCAGCTGGCGCAAACTTCACGGTAGACCTGGAAACCACGACGGAGGCTGTAAAGATGCATGACCACGTTAGTTGCATTTCGTCAATACTATGCGGCGGAGGTCAGCCGGGGAGGACTCACGCGGCGTGATCGAAGGTCTTGTTGAAGCGCTGGTGAACCCAGGGGTAGTGAGTGGCGTGCAAACTGGATAGACAAAGGATTGTCAGCTATATTTCGAGGCGCATAAATCGGGCAGCACGATCCGGGCTCCTTGATGTGAGACAGAAATCGGGTAGGTCTTGGTACGATTGACAAAGATGAATATCACTCACCCTTCCTCAGCAGGTGTCATGGCAAAGGCCTCTTGACCATAGAGATGGTAATACCAGGCGGCGGAACCGGCAGCCGCGGCGGTAGCGAGCGAGGCAGTGAGGGTGAGGTAGAAGGGGGAGCTGGCGGCATCGGCACCAGCGGCGGTGGATGAAGCACGCTGCATGGGACGAGTCTTCGAGTCAGTACCATCTTCGAGATCACATGCGTTGAAGCAATTGCCATTCTCGGCGCAATCCCATGATCCGGCTGGAATGAATGAATGCGTACCGTGGACTTGCCGACAGGCTGGCGAGCAAAAGCCCGGGCGGCCACGCGTGGAAGGGAACGGCCCAGCATGACGAAGATGATCCCTCCGATCAATTGACGATGGTTAGGAAAGGGTGAGGTTCGCTTCGAGCGAGACGAGAGGGAGGGGGGGTGGGACGGAGTGGGTGCACAGAAGAGGTGCTGTCAAGAGTTGTAAGATGAGGTTGACGGTCAAGTTTCTCGCTGGGGGCAGGATTGGGTAAAACCCTGACTGTGATTGGCTACGCTTGGGCGGCCCAGCTCACTTCGGTGAAAACCGGCTCCGTTGTAGCCTGAAGTTTGAGGCATTTATTTTGTCACGTGCTCATCGAGCCACAATCTCGGCTTTGAGGTTCAGCTTACCTCTGATTGGGCGATCTATTGGATGGAACTTAGCTTCACTACTACTGGTAGCTTCTCTGAACTTCATTGTGCTTGTAGTTGGTAAAAATAATCGGAGCGAATGTTTCACAACCGTTCACGGTAACAAACAATGTAAACTTCATAGCTAGTATCTGTATTGCATATCCATGCTTTCTGGATGAATCTTGAATTGTCAAGGATCGTGGCAAGAAGATGTCTACTTCGGGTTGCCCGTATCGCTTCCAGGGAATGAGCCTGTATGTACCAGTTGCCTATGGAACCGATATGCACGCCTCATCTTGGACATTTGTCGGCACCTACTTAGCCCATAATTAAGCAAAAAAATGTACTGGGACGGTCGGAGCTCTTCAATCCCGGCTGATGCCCTGGCTGGGATGCCTGAAGAAGTTGAGTACGAAACACCAGAAAACGAAAAAGAATGAGCGACGCAGGGATCGAACCTGCAATCTCTTGAGCCGAAATCAAGCGCCTTACCATTAGGCCAGCCGCCCTCGATAACTAAGATTTCTTTTAAAGTAAACCATCTGGGAATCTAATTGTAGCCAAGACAAGAGCCGAAGGGCAAGTGGACTCGTGGAGTTTCTTCATTCAAGCTCGGTCGCGTATAGCTCTCTCGGTGCTAGCAGTAGATGGTTATGCAGTTGACTCATTAAATGTTGAAGGTTAACCTCGGCGCTACCTGCACTAATATAGCTCCTCACTATTATGAGACTACTCTATGTGAGACTTCTGGTCCAAAAAGAGATTTTCAGCTCCGAGAGCTCATCGGCGTCAGCTTTCTGGATTGCACGGGCGTGAGACTCTCGCGAGATGGAACGTAGCGGAGTCGCCTTTAGATCGCAGTCGCCATGGACCAGACATCTAGAAGAGATCTTTCAATAAGCATCATATAATCACACTAAGCTGTTTTCTTCCATCGAGGGCGGCTGGCCTAATGGTAAGGCGCTTGATTTCGGCTCAAGAGATTGCAGGTTCGATCCCTGCGTCGCTCAATCTTTTTGGTTTTGTGCGCTCTCGGCTCCTACCCGACCGAGTAGTACGGACATGTTGGTGCGTGAGAGTCGACCATCCCAAGACATCTGTTCAACTTTTTCGACTCTTAATATGTGTGGTACCACCAGTATGGCTTTCAAATTGTAACGGCTCAAATCAGGTATCTACCACTCGTTTAATCGGGCTGAAGATTGGTGCATGTCAACTTGTGAAGCCATTGACAGACGAGCGTGGCGCGGAATGCACCTAGGTGGAACCGACCGCCGATAAACACTTGCTTCCAATCCAGTGTCCCAACATCAGGTCAATAGATATATCTTTCCTACAGAGTCATGATCTTTCTGGCAACCTCTCAAATTGATTTGAATTTCTACATTTCTACCTAGGGCATCGCTAGGTGGTGTGACGGTGAAATGCTGATATTCATGGAATGGTTTCCATTAGTGAGGCATGCAAGCTGCCGGGCAGCTTTGAAATATACATATGTCACTCTTCGTCCTCATGGGCTTGGAAATAATGTCCATCCATGAGATGGTATGTTGCTGATGAATGCTCCAGTTCTGCAAAAATTAGCTACCAACTGATGCGCTGGCATTCCACTCATTTTATTTATTCTCATCAGAAATTGACATCAATTGCCGAAACTTGAGAAGTTCGCTGAAGAATTCTGCCGTAGATCCCGGGGACTCAAATCAGGAGGATCGCCGTATGGAAGGGGATCCACGGCGATCCAGAAAACCCGACAGACGTCAAAAATATGGGGTTGAAGTCGTGATTGTGGACGTTGTTTTCGGCCATTCCAGCCATCTCGGCCGATACTTACCTCATCTACCCTAAGCAGATGTCTGAACCTTTTTTATTTTTATTATTATTATTACTACTACTATTATTATTAAAAATTTTTTTGAATCCCCGGCCGTATATAATAGAAAGAGCACCTAATATAAGCGACTTCTTTGACGTGATGAGCACTGACTCATTCTCTCAAGTTTATAAGTTCAAAGATACATTATTATCCTTGCTTTAGCTCACACCACGGGCTGACAACAAATACCTTACACTTCTTGGATCCTTTCTATACATCCTGCCAAGATCTCCGAAGTTCCCACGGCAATTGTTCGTGAAGCAAGAGAGAAGTATGTCAGTATGCAATCAAACGAGACCAGACTCTGGCAACCAGAGGCATGCAGAACAGGCACCTTTGCCGAAACATGATCGTGGTTGGCGTCGAGTCATTCGCAACTTTACACCCGCGTAAGTGTACACATACTTTGATTGACTTCGTGTCCTTCCTTCGTTTTGTGGCGAAGGCAGCTTCTTACTCTTCCGGAACACAGTTGGTTTTCAGTCAACATGGGAACAGGCATTGTTTCCATTCTCTTGAACACGCTACCGTACAATGCCCGATGGTTATATTACCTCTCAATTATCGTCTTCGTGTTGAACGTGGTTCTGTTCACGATGATACTTGCGACCACTCTGCTTCGATATTTGCTCTACCCGGAAATTTTCAGAGTTATGCTCAATCACCCAGTGCAATCCCTGTTCCTCGGAACATTTCCAATGGGTCTTGCGACCCTGATAAACATGTTTTGCTTCGTCTGTGTTCCATCATGGGGAACAGGGGCTGCCTATTTCATCTGGGCCATCTGGATCTTCGACGCGGTGGTCTCAATTCTTGTTGCAATTGGAATTCCATTCCTCCTGTAAGTCTCATCCGTCCAGACCAACTCGGTTGACTATTCTTGTCGTTGACCTGGAACCAATGACAACTAATGTGGCGTGCAGGACGACGAACCAAAGCTCCTCAGACCTCTCATCTATGACCGCAGCATGGCTTCTTCCCATAGTTTCATGTGTCGTTGCGGCTGCTTCTGGTGCTATTGTCGCCGATGTCTTGCCAAATGCACAGCTGGCTCGGGCTACCATTTTGGCTAGCTACGTCCTCTGGGGAATCGGTGTCCCTTTTGCATTCATGGTCATTTGCGTTTACCTGCAACGCCTCATGTTCCACAAACTACCACCTAAGGCCATGCTCGTCAGTGTCTTCCTGCCCCTCGGGCCTTTGGGTCAGGGCGGGTTTGGGTAAGTCTGCTTGTGCTCTGACAAGTCCAACTTCCCCCCCCGAGCTTCTGATTCTGACTTTTTTCCTGCGCCAGGATTCAACGACTCGGCAAGGTCTCCCAGAAGGTCTTTCCACAAACCAACACCTTTGGCCCCAATACTGGCGATATCTTCTACAGCGTGGGCTCCATGATCGGACTTTTGATGTGGGCATTCGGTCTCGTGTGGCTCACTTTCGCCATTGCCACCTTACTGGTGACGAAAAAGTTCCCCTTCAACATGGGCTGGTGGGCACTGACTTTCCCACTGGGCGTCTTCACGACTTGCACGTGTACCCTTGGGCGCGATCTGCCGTCGCAATTCTTCTCCGTTCTTGGCACGGTAAGTGCATATTCCCAGGATGTGAAATACGATACGTTCCTTGGCAGACATCGGTGTGACTAACATTTCAAACGACAGATATTTTCAGTCGCTGTTGCCCTAATGTGGCTGCTGGTCAGCTTTCACACATTGAAAGGTATTGTCCGCGGCGATATCTTCGTTGCTCCGTGTCTCAAGGATCTCCGAGTCAGCGAGCCTCACATCGACGAAAAAGCGTGATTCAAGCAGCATGGTGACGTCGGGTGTACTTTATTTTTGTACTTCGGCACCTGTGAGCACAAATGCATTATACTATAGGCATTTACAATAGGATATCGGCAGAATGACAGATAATGTGACCCCCCTTCTAGAATGATTGGGGCCAGTTTTGGACTGGCACTACAGGCACAACTTGGTCATTTGGACTCAAGTGACTCCGGCAATTCTCTGTGGCAAAGCAATATATATCAGCATACACTCACTTCGTTGTTTGTGCACTCAAGGCTGCTAATGTACGCAAGGGACGGTAGGGTTAATCGCCGATTGCGTGTCCCAGGGATTGATGCTTGCCTCCCGATTCCCAAGAGTATGTTGCTACATGTAGAGGACCGATCGTTTATGCGCATGAGAATGTGATAGAAGAGCAAGAGAACCAGCTTCAATTCATGCAGAGGGCTCAGTGTCAATGTACAGATAATGACATGTTCTCACTGTATTCGGATCTTATGGAGCATGATGCGAGATTGGGCGCTAATTGAAGTAAAATCGTAGTCTAGAAAACGGTCGGGCGTGGTTGCCTTGCGGCCTCGCCGGAGTTTGACAGGTCAAGGCACGAACGCTCGTTCCACGAAGTAAACCTCTCCGACTCAAACTCTCGCTATGCACGGCGACTGCCCGAAGCTATGGCCAGGACCAAGAGAACCGGGCTGGTCTCACTAGCTTGCACCGAATGTCGGAAACAGCACCTCAAATGCGATGCGCAAAAACCAACTTGCTCGCGATGCGCTCAGCACGGATATCTCTGTCAGTACCTCCCCTCGCGGAGAGGTGGATATCGCAAACCCCGAATGAGCTCCGATAGCCACGCACCGCTGCCCAGCGCTGCCGGTGACCTCGGTGCGACACCATCACAAGATCTTGGCCCCGGAATTCCAGGGGGCATGCAGCCTGATTATCAGTCTCCCCTTACACTGCCATTACAGCGTCCTGAACAGCCGGGCCTGGAGAGCACTCCTGGACCGCGTGCGAGTGCGACAAGGCCCTTCACTTGGTCAACGTCCACTCCGAGGCTTCGTTTAAACCAAGAACCGTTTCAATCTAACAGGGATCCATGGTCTCAGGATGACCGGTCGCTCCGTCTCTACTATGAGAACTTCCACATTGCCCATCCAATTCTGGCGCCCAGTGCTGTCTATTACGACCAGGAATACCCCCGTTTCCTGCAAATGGTGGTCAACTTTGTCGGATCTCATTATCTCCCATCCAGCCCCGGTCAGGAAGAGAGAGACAAGGTACTGGCTGAGTTGACGTGTCATGCCGATCGAACACCATGTATGGTTCAAGCCTGGCTCATCTACTCGATCGCGATCTACGCCCGAGGAGAATGGGTGGAAGCGCAGGATGCACTCTCGCGCGGCATAGCTATCGCTTTGGACATTGGCATGAACCGACGTGAATTCGCCACAAGTGTGCATCCCGAGAACAGCATCGAGGCAGAGAGCCTGCGCAGAACCTGGTGGGAGTTGTATGTCACAGATATTTTGATTGCCGCTCCGTCCAAAAGCAATACCTTCTTATGCAGTACAATGACTCCGGAGGTAGGCTTACCGTGTGAAGAATCGGTCTACACGGGCACCTGCCCAATTCCGCCATCCAAAAAGATTCTCGACTTCAAACGACGGATTTTTGCGCCCGAAGAGACTGTATTCTCTTCCTTTAGTTATCGCATTGAAGCCACCGACATCCTCTGCAGAGCACTCGTGCTGAGTAGGCTTAAGGACTACCACCGAGATCATCTGCAGGCGGTCGAAAATGCTCTAGTCAGCTGGATCAATCATTTGCCTGCAAGAAAGCT